CGAAACTTAAGTGACTTTTACTGAAAGTTATAAATTTCAGTGATCATTTTGTAACTTTTGCGTAAGTTCAGTGAGCGTTTGTGAAATTAACCCGCAATGATATAACATAATAATATGTTAACAGTTTGGAACAAATCATCCTATTGTCACACATTTACCCTATAGGTCTAGCAAAATTCGAAGGGCCTTTTCTCGCTTACAAGACTTTATATGTCAAGAAGTTTTTTTACCTCTTCCATCTTAGAAGTTGAACAAGCAAACTGCAAGTAGTAACTTCCCGTTTAGTGATAGAATTTCCTACGATAAACTATCTACATCTTATCGTGCTTTTGTAACCTCAATAATAAATCACTTTGAGCCTAGAAATTATCAAGAAGCCATGACCTCTCCTGAATGGAGTGCAACCATGAAAGCTTAGATTGAGGCACTATAGTTTTGACTAATCTACCACCTGATAAGGAGGCCATAGGATGCAACTGGATGTACAAAATCAAATTCAACACCAACGGTAGCATTGAAAGGTTTAAGGCACACCTTATAGCGAAGGGATATGCACCAAAGGAGGGACTTGACCACCACGAAATATTCTTCATTGTGGCTAAGTTAGTCACTATTAGAACTTTGTAGCAGTATTGGCGATTAAAGGGAGGTATCTATCTCAATTTGATGTGAATAATGCCTTTCTAGATGGTGATTTGGACGAGGAAGTTTGCATGGAGTTGGCCGTGGTTACTCAAATGTTAATGGTAATAAAGTCTGCAAGCTACGCAAGGCTTATATGATTAAAATGGGCTTCAGGTCAATGGTATTTGCTGTCAATTTTTATACCTCGCAAGTGTGCAGATCGTAACAACTTATATAGTGAACATAAGAGTCCAAATATCGTTCACACGAGGACTACTATTTAACGATTGGTTCAATTATTCCTAACTTTAATTTGATCGAAAACAAATAATAAGTTTTGTGATTAATGTCTAAATTATTCTAACTAAATTAAATTATCTAGCATACACAACTTATCGAATTTGTGTTTTAAAAGTAAGAATATGGATGCTAGAACTTACAATTTTACTTATGGATCCCCTTTAATTCGCCAATCAAGATTCAATACAATTGTAGTGTTCGATCGAATTCTTCTAAAGTATTCAATTTACCTCTTTCGAGTTTTTATTGAGCATATTTAACTAATTCAATCATATATCTCTATATGAATCAATTTTATTTAAATGAAATATTAGTTCTAAGAATTCACTTAACGACCGCAATAATTAGTATAGATATTTCTACACATTATACTAAATTATCGATTTTAATATGTGGTCTAAATCTATAATTCACTTATTGAATCGTAATATATTCACAAAATCATTGAATAATTGGTCAAAGAATTCAACGCATTCAGTACATAATTAAAATCAACACATATGCATTTAAAGAACTTGAATCTTGAATAAAAGAAATAAAGGATCATACCTAGATTACATTATTCACCCTAGCTAAGAATTTAGCTACTTTTAATAATGAGAAAAATAAAAAGTACAGAGCTCATAACCGAGTTTTGAAATCTTGATCATGGAAAGAATTGGATCTTGCATCAAGAATTTTTTTCAACCTCAAAAGTTATCAAACCCTAACTTTTGCTATTTGATCTTGATGATTATGTATTTTTTTCCCCCCAAATTGTGTGGAACCCCCCCCCCCCTCGAAAGTGTAAAAACTTGTATCTATAGTTGTCTCCTAGTTTGTGTAGAAATTAGGATTTTATGAACTTCAAAACGGGCCAAAAGAGCCACGACGCCACCTTTTGGATAGAAATTTTGACTACACTTTTTCAGTATTTTTTTTATCAAAACATTCTCTTTCGATATCCGATTGAGACGATTCAAAGTACGTTGGAAAGTAACTCAAAGGGCTACAACTTTATTTTAGATACCAATTTCCAATTCAAATGTTTGTTATGTTAAAAATGGGTCTCAATATAAGACTGAAAATTCGGAGCATAACTTTTTCAGTTTGGAAATTGATATGTGATAATACTTTAACTATATTTTCATCCTTTTGACTTTTCTCTTTATTCAATTGACTCCTAACACTCTCGAATCTTCATTGTGAGGTCTGACACAATTTTAAAGTATTTACACTTTAGTCCCCGAACTTTAGATCTCTTACAATTTAGCCTTTCTGCTAATTTTCGCTTCTTTCTTTCAATTCCGCTTCCATTCATCAAGTTTCACCTAATAAACGAAACATACAATAAATTGGCTATAATTGTTCAAAAGAACTATTAAATGTCTATATTTTTATGTGCAAATAAGTGTATAAAATACACTTATCAGTATTATAAACTTTCCAATTTCATTGTCGAACAAGGTTTTATCCAATCTAGAGCAGACTTTAGCTTGTTCACTGAATCTACTAGTAATTCTATCACAATCATTTTACTTTATGTAGACGACATAATAGTTGCTGACAACTGTGTCGATACCATCAATGATCTTAAAATCGCCCTCAATGACAATTTCAAAATTAAGGACGTAGGGAAGTCGAAATATTTTAAAAGGATTGAAGTGGCGAGGTCTAAACATGGCATTCATATATGTCAGATAAAATATGCTCTAGATATCTTGGCAGATTCAGACACCACTGGTTCAACTCTTGCTAAGATTTCCCTTGATCAAAATATTAAACTTAGCAAGGATGAAGAAGAGTTGCTCACATACCCATCACTTCACAGAAGGTTAATTGGAAGGCTACTTTATCTAACAATCACCCAACCTGATCTTGCATATTCGGTTCTGCTGTTAAGTCAGCACATGAACAATCCTAGGATTCCACATCTACATCAAAAGAGCATGGATACTATGAGTAATCCTAGAATTGCATAAGGTGTTGCAATATATCAAAAAGAGCACATGGACAAGGGTTGTTCTATCCCACAAATTCAAAGCTACAATTGGAAGACTACTGTAATTCTGACCGAAGGGCTTGTTTGGACATTGGGAAGTCAACAACGGGACATTGTGTATTCATTAGGACATCTCTAATGTCATGGAAGTCGAAGAAGTAGCTTGTTGTATCTCGATCTTCCGCAAAGGTAGAATATAGGGCAATAACAAATATTTGCTGTGTGTTAACGTGGCTCAGGTACTTGATTAAGGATTTGTAGATTGATCATCCCCAAGAAGTAGTTCTGAATTGATATAATAAGGCTACAATTCAAATAGCCACAAATCTAATTTTTCATGAAAAGGACCAAACACATAGAGCTTGATTGTCATCTTATTCGAGACAAGATACAAGATAGTAGCATTATCACCCAACACATTCCCAATACATCACAAATTGCAAATATTTTAACCAAGGCCTTAAATTCTCAAGGTTTTTACTTTTGAATGTTCAAGATAGGAGTAATGGATGTATAATCTCCATCTTGCTAGGGCTATTGAAGCTCCAAGATGATCAAGCTGGAGCATTGGTAGAAGGCAAACCATGTGGACTCAATGGCAAAATAACAAAAGAATAATCTAGAATTCATTTGTGTTGAGCTTTACATTCTTCAAAACTAATTATAATCAACAGATCTTTCTATGCGTCTTAATTGGTGCATGCCAATAAAAGCTCCAAATAATTTGTCTACAATTTGCATCTCTTCTATCAAAACTCTAAATTCCAATAAAATGAAAAATAAAAGAACGAAAATTTGTTTGTTGTAAACTTCAAATTCAGATTGTATTCTTGCCTTTCATTTCGACATCATTGTTTGTCGATAAACTATCGAATATATATGATGAATTTGGAGAAACCAACCGTTTACCATTTATGGTATATATATTATTCATACACACTATGCAAGCAGGATATAAATTTTAAACACAAAATAAGTGGCCAACTTTTATTTTTGCGTTTTGATCAATGCTCTAACCAAGTCATACCAAATTAATTTGATTTGGTTTTGTTCTGTTGCGGAAGCTCTCTCAAAAGATCTTCAAACGGTGGTTTTCCAGGCTCAATCCAACGTACCTTTCTTTACCAACAATCAATCCAAACGGCTCCAAATCACAACCAATTGATTCACCTTGGTTGCTATACAATCTTACCCACGTAGAACAAGAAAGAATGATAATTTATGGCCACAAAGGCTAGGAGAAGACACCACAAAGGTATACTGTGAAAGAACTACCAATTGCACACGTTATACAAGCGTTTTGAACACTTCTGAACACCTTTTTCTCACACAAAAGGGGGGCAGTCGGGATTCACTAGTTTCTTCTCTCAAAATCACACAATCATCATATCAAAGAGGCTAGGGTTATATTCATATATATACTCTAGGGTTAGGCTTTAAGTTGAACCATTAAAGGGGTAAACGGGCCAAGATTCAAACCATCCATAAGGAATACAATTGGGGCGGGTGTAGCTCATGGATTTGGTTGTTGGACTTATTTCATTCATCGGCCTATGCCTATGAAATAATATTAACCCACGTTAACATAATAGCCTGGGATTTATTGGATATCAAAAACCCAACATGTTCGATTTTAATAACTGGATTGAATTGGTTTTGGTTGAAATTTGCTCAAATTGACCAAGTCAATTTTCATTTCGAGTTGGATCTAGAATCAACCCAATCCAAACCAAGCCCAGACATATTATTCCTTGTTTGGTCTATCTTAAAATTTAAATCAATGTCAACAATTAATTTTAGTCATACATTTTATGGGATCCATAACTTTTTCGTCACACATTTCATTAACTTTTATTAAAATTTACTAGAAATCTGATTTTTAGCTACACAAAACAAGGGCTACTTAAATGAAAAGCTAGGATGTAAATGCTGTGTTTTGAAGGTTGGTGAACAAAGTGCATCACAAGTCAAAGGTTGGATACGTCAATTGCTATTTCATCTGAACTAAACTTGTGTGGGTAAAAACACAGTAACCTCATAAACTAAGGACCAATTTGAAAAAACGAGAATCAGTTCTCTCATTTTCTTTCCCTTCCCTCCACATCTATCCCAAACAAAATTCCCTCCCTTCCCTCGTTTTCTACTCCCCTCCTATCCCCCCTCCACCCCCGTCCGCACACAGACACACACATTTACCATTATAAAATCTCAAACCCTCATTTTCCCTCTCTCTCTTGTAATCTAAAACCCTAAAATTTGCAGCCAACTTTATTAGTTTGAATGCATTAATTTAATTAACTATTTTTGTTAAGAGTAATGGCTGGGCCAGGAGTTTCGACCGGCGACTCGGGGGCAAAAGGACAGACCGTCCAGACACCATCGACGTCGATCCGGCGGCATCTACCGTTCTCGTCGATGAAGCCGCCGTTCTTTCCCCCTAATGACTACCACCGCTTCTCGACGCCGGGCGGCATCCCCGCCTCTGATCACCCACCGGAAGTTGTTGTGGTTAAGTCTCCTGTGGGTTTCGAATACTAAGCTTGTTCAACTTAATTTGCTGCTTTTTATGTTTTTATGTTGGATGTGTATTTACTGTGTTATTAGTTTTTAGGTGGGATTTTATTCAATTCTCTAATTAAATGTAAATTGTTACACTTATTGAGCGTAAAGTTATCTATACCTATAATCACGATATTCATAGACAAGTTTATATATAAATAATAAAAGAGAACCATAATTCCTCATCGATTGAGGGGAAATTGTACAATTATCCATCACAACCTATGTTCTATCAAATTCTATATGAATGAAGTAAGAACTTGGAAGTTCTTGTGTTTCGAACTGTAGGTTTGTGTTAATGATATCAATGTTTGTCATATATTAAGAGATAACTTTGTTAACACAGCATGGTAAGTCTACTACTGTAGTGCGACAAACACTACCGTGAAATGATATGTGGACATCTTACGGAGTGAAAGTGCACTAGCTTATGTATGTCTGTTTAACAGTTAGATGATCATGTAGCATCAGAAATCAGACAGTTTTGGTATAAATATAATTTCGGAATTATATTATTTACTTTCTATTTCGGATGCTGATGCAAATGTTCCTGGTAAATTGGGGCCTTTCAGCTGCCGAAGCGGAAGAATGGGCATGCAAACAATGAGGTTGAGCCTAGTGAATGGACGACAAGTCCTGGATGCAACAATATGGCTAATAGTCCCTTCAGCACACCTGTTTCTGGAAAAGGAGGAGGGGCAAGTGGTCGGTCTAAGTTTACAAAAAACAATAGATCTGCGCCTGCAACTCCTGTCACCAATGTTGGTGAGATGAATTTTTCCTTGAATCATATTTGTTAATTGATTGTTGACTTTCGCAGGAGCATATTGCTTTGAAACAACTGTTAGTGAATTAGGAAAAAAACTTTCTTATCAAAAACAAATATTAACGTTGCTTACAATTTTTTCCCTAAAATATGAACGATTTCTTTAGTATACAAACAGCTAATGCATTCAGTGGGTGAATTTGCAGATGCTCCATCTCCTCTCACTCCTGCTGGAAGCTGTCGCTACGATAGCTCCTTGAGTACTTATGTTACTTTGCATTTTGGATTAGATTTTCAGGCTTTAGATGTCAAAGCTATTGGTGATGTGCTGATATTTATATGGACTGTCTCAGGTCTTTTGACAAAGAAATTCATTAACTTGATAAAGCGTGCAGAAGATGGTGAACTTGATTTAAACAAAGCTGCTGACACTTTGCAGGTGATCTATCTGCTGGATGATTATGCACGTTTTTTGAATTTCAGAAATTTTAATTGAAATTCTGGTGGTACAGGTTCAGAAGAGAAGGATATATGACATAACAAATGTCCTTGAAGGAATTGGTCTTATTGAAAAGAAGCTTAAGAACAGAATCCGCTGGAAGTATGCCTTTTTTTTGCGTTTAGAAAATACATGATGACATGCTGTTACACTGCATATGACTTTCAATATCAGTAGTGGTATTTTAAGTTTGGAACTTAAATGAGAATTTATTGACTTGTTAGGGGACTCGATCCTTCAAAACCTGAAGAAATGCAGAATGATGCCACTCTTTTGCTGGTATGTGGGAGAAGAAATGCTAACCTTGTACTATTAGTGTTCTTGTACTTTGTTTTCTTTATATTCTCTACAGAATTGAACTCGTGATGGACTTGCTTGTATATAGACACAGTTTGGTATTGACTTTTCTGTCCCCAACTACCTTTTTAATTGACGAATTACTTGTTAAATATCATAATTTCATTTGTTCATATGTAAATCATTTTTAGTGTGGCTTCAAAATAAAATAAAAATAAAAATGATTAGTAGTGTCATTTAATCTTTTAATCTTGCTTCCATCCACAGGCTGAATTTGAGAACCTTTCCATGGAAGAAAAAGGATTGGATGAGCGAATAAGGTTAATAAGTTCTCATTTCTAAGCAATAAATGCTGCTACTGCAAATCATTGTTTATGCTGATCCTTCAGAATGTTACAGGGAGATGCAAGAAAAGCTGAGGGACTTGAGTGAAGATGAAAACAATCAAAAGTATTCTCTGCGGTCTCCTTGATTATAGTATTTATTTGAGTCAGAAGGATTCTTCTGTTCACCAATTAGTCAATTACACTGTTCCACTGACTGTTGCAGATGGCTTTTTGTAACTGAAGATGATATCAAAGGCTTACCCTGTTTCCAGGTTTGTTTCTTTAGCTTTTGTAATGTCTATATGTAACAGCATTCATGTATTAATATGATGGCAGGTAAAAGAAATAGGTGACTGTAAATCCTATGATAATTACAATATCAATCAATTGTGTTCAAAACTCTTGGGTAATTAACTTCTCAAACCTTATGTATGACAGAATGAAACCCTGATAGCAATTAAAGCTCCACATGGAACTACCCTTGAAGTTCCAGATCCTGATGAGGTAAATCAAGTAAAAGAGGCCTTTTGTGAGCTTTGCTGTGGCTGTTCTGATAGTTTCAGTATTTTCAATTTTTTTCTGGTATACAGGCTGTTGACTATCCGCAGAGGAGATATAGAATAATACTCAGAAGTACAATGGGTCCTATTGATGTTTACCTCGTCAGGTATCCAAGGAAAATTTTGCTTGCCCCCCTCATAGTCCAAAGATGTTTATCTATAAGCTTCCTCCTTTTTAAACTTCTTTCATCTCAATTTCAGTCAGTTTGAAGAGAAGTTTGAAGAGCTGAGTGGTGTTGAACAACAAACAAGCTTCCCCCTTACACCTAGCTCAGGCTCAAATGGAAATCTAGCAATAGAAAGAGCCTCTGTGACGAACAGTTCAACGGGCATTGAAGTTCAGACACAAGAGAGTCAGACTATGAGCTCCAATTATAGTGCCTCACAAGAGTTTTCTGGTGGAATGACGAAGATTATTCCTTCAAACATTGATGTAAGTGTGGTAATTCTGAATGAAACATTTGATTGGTAAGAACTTTATACAAGAGAATTCATCAGCAAACTAAAAGAACAGTTGTTTAGCTGGTACTTACTCATTTTCGAAGAATATGTTGTTACCATGTAATAAGTTATAGCTCTAGGGAATTATTACTCAAATTTATGATTTTAAGGCCTGTCAGTGGCCATGATCCTGTGTAATTTAACTTTTCAAAGCTATAATGACCTCCCAAAAATTTTCAGCAATAACAAAGACATAGATTGCATTACATTACTTCCGGAGGATGGCCAGTATACTTCTTTATTTCTTATGTTCTTACAATATGTTTTTCTCTTTATGCTTTCCATCTCCATCCTTGTTACTGCATTGCAAGTTTTTCATTCCAATAATTTTGATTGTAATTTGTTTCTGGAAAAATATATATTCAATCTGAAGGGTATATAATGTTTTTGGTTGTTGCAGAATGATGCAGACTATTGGCTTTTATCAGATGCAGAAGTTAGCATCACAGACATGTGGAAGACAGATTGTATACTTCTATAGTTGTTGATTTTAGTTTCCGTGTTTCTTTCCACAAGACCTTGTCTGAATTTTTAATTCATTGACTTCAAATGCAGCTGGTTTGGAATGGAGTGGAGTAAATATGCTTCATGAGGAGTTTGAAATGGCCACCATTGGCATGCCAAGGCCAGAGACTCCACCGTCCCACATTTCTAATGTACCTTCTCCTGTTGTTAACGTGCCACCTAGGTGATTTCCTTGTTTTGATTAATGAGAAAAGCAGACTCGTGTTATTTCAGATGTTAAAAAGTCATTGTCATTGGTTCTTGCTTGATCCACCGGGACTCTTAACAGTCTCTGAAGACTCGGATTTACTGTGCAACGAACTGCAGAAAGAGGGACATGCAAGGAACCGCTTAAGAGGCCGAGATATTGGGAGCTGTCTCCATTGAATCAGTGGTAAATAAATGTTTTAAGTTCTTGTAATTCTGGTGCAATGTCGTGGATATCTGAAATGAAGGGAGAACACTGCAGGCAAATTGCTAGAGCAACACTTGTAAACAGGTCTGATTTACTTGTATTACTTTGACTTATTTGCAACCTTTTCTGCAAATCTGATAATTAGAAAATAAAAACATGGGTTGAAGTTAGCATGGCAATGTGGTTTGGTAACTTTGACATTAAGTTAGTTTATTTGAGTTGTTATTCTTTTATAACGAAGTAAATTGCCTAATGGGACTTAACACAAACCAAAATAAGTGATTTTATAGAATGTGTAAGAATAAAAAGTATGTTTGACACGATTTTAACTCTGTCGACACCTCTGACCTAGAAGGTTTTTTCATTATAATGACAACTATGGAAAAAAAATCTTGAAGAAAAGTTGTATTATAAATGAAATTTAAAAATAAAATAAAATTATGGGGGGAATTTATAACTGGAGATAATGAAAAATCTGACTAGTAAAGTTAAATTGCAACATCATTTTCATAATAATGTTCCCTCAACTCCAAATAACTTTATAAGTCACTTTCTACATAGATAGGATAACACTCTATCTTAGTTTAATAATCATATAGCATTTTCAGTGGCAAAAATTATAAAGATAATTGAATAATCCAATTTGTACGGCATGTTGTTAAATCCAAAGCCCTTGGAGCGACCATCCTTAGGAATGTATCTTCGTCTCAATTTATTTAATTTTTGCAAAATTAGAAATGGAAATTGAGAGTTATTAGTGTGATTACACGAGAGAATAGAAATTGCCCAACAATTGTATATTTTGTTATAACAATGTCGATTCCTAGCAAACGTAAATGTCCATCAGTAACATTCTTTTTTGTTTGGATTAAGAGAACATATAATTGTGTTTAAGTTACTTTTTATTAAAAAAAAAAAAAAGAGTAACTTTTATTGGCAAAAAAATTGTCACGAATAAATAATATACATACGGCCAAACACACTTTGTGTTTGCTGGTCCCATTATCCGAAATGTTTTATAGTTGGACCAGTTTCAACCAACTTTTATGAACTGAAAAAAAAGGATTAATCCCCAAGTACTTGAAAAGTTTTTATGGACTTAAAAAAAAATAAAAATAAGGGATTAATCTTCAAGTACTAGGAAAGTTTCACAGGTTTCTTCCTAAAGGGTGCTGTCGTGACTAGTGATGGTAAAAAAACTTGCCTATCCCGCCTCGAACGGATTGGTGGGGCGGGGCTGGACAAGGTTGGCGTGCCTTGTCGCGGGGCATGGGACTCACCCCATGAAGGGAAAGAAAAGAAAAAGATTAAAAATAATATTATTTCTAGACAATTCATCAGTTAAAAATTTATTTTGAATTTGTACTTTATTCTCTAATAATGACATAACTCGAAATTTTGAAATTGTAAAAAAAATAAAAATATATAAAAAATAAAAAATAGAATAAATTAAATTAGGCAACAAATGGGACAAATAGTTGATTCTGTGAAAGAAATATGTACATGTAGCATGATTTAAAAAAAAAAAAAAAAAGTAAAAAAGTGTAGGAATCTTTAAAAACGTGATTATTTAAAAAGATTTAAAAATATAAACAAATGGCAAGGATTTATGTTTAAAGAGGGTGTTATGGACATTTTAAAGATTTTTCATAGACCAAACTTAGGTGCGTCCCTTGATTATTTTTGGTGCATCGACTTAGTCTGGTTGAATGTCAAAGAACACAAAGATTGACTGAATTTTCGTCCGATGTCTTTTCTTTAATAAAACTTCCTAATATTTTAAAATTTAAAAAAATTTAAATTTCTAAGCACCATATTTAATATTTGCTTCAACTTTGACAAGCAATTTTAAATATAAGATAACTGTAAAAAGATAAGCTCAACCTCCGTGTATTATTGAATCCTTCTTTTAAAATCTCAAAATAGGTCAAATCACAATTTCGAGATTGAATTAATCAATCTTCGAAAAAGAGATACATCAAGACCTATGTAAAGCAGGTAACTATATTATTATTTGTTCATTTTCAATTTTAATAAATTTATTGAAGGAAAAAAGGAATTTCGCATTAATTTGCTTGAACTTTGGCTCCGATCTTCAAATGCCTCACTAACGTTAGCATCTGCATTTATAAATCATACTCCTACATGGACTTGCTCAATTAGAAAAATCGAGAAATTATCTCAAATTTAGTTCCTATTTGGCGAAAATTAAAAATTAAAATTTTAAATTAGTCAAAATTAACAATTAATTTTAATCATATATTTTGTGGACCTATAAATTTTTAATCATATATTTCATTAATTTTTATCAAAATTTGTTAAAAATTTGATTTTAATCTCCATTGAATAGGGGCTAAATAAATGATAATATTGGGATAAAAACCAAGTTTTAAAGGAATGATATTAAAGTCTTTTTTGAGTTTCATTATTTTCTCATTGAAATGAAAAATGTGACTGTTATCCATCACATCAATTCACCATATTTGATTTTTAATCTCTTGTGTAGGGTCCATAACGACTATATTTTTCATTTTTATTTTTACAATAATGTGGTGCAAACGGGGCTAAGATTTAAGAATAATGATTTTTTCTTTAAAAAAAAAAAAAGGAATATTCATTTTTCTTAATCAGTTGCTATATTTGGAATTGAAATAGAATCTTGCATGGCATTTAGCAACTGTTTTGTCTTTGCTGCTGTTCTTTTTTGTTTTCCAGTTCTACCCCTACCCCTACCCCTTTCCTCTTCCTCACCCTGCCCCTCGGTCCCCGCTCTCTCTCACAAACTAACAACAACTCTCTCTCTAAACCAGTAATCATTTTTTTCTCGTAACACGAAGCAAATCAATCAAAGCCATAAAAACGACAAAAAAAGGCATCAAAAGCCAAAAATTCTAGGGTTTCAAATTCCCTCTCGAGTTCTCCCTCCACTTTTATAAATCCCCTTCCCTCGTTTTTCCTCAATCTCGATTTTGTTTTACTTCCCCTTCAGGTAGCACCGGCAAATCAATTTTCAGCTGCGTGTTCATCCTCTCGAAGCAAGGTAACCAAATGTACATGCAAATGCTAATATGTCTATTGTATATGTATGTATGGGTTTCAGGGTTTGTATGTAAGGATTGTTGAGCATTTTAATTAGTTTTGTGTTAATTATTTCTGTAGGAAGTCTGTTGGGGACAATATATTGATCTGAATGAATCGAGTTTTTACCCGGGCTGAGGAAAAGGGGGGAGATTTACATATATTCTGGGGGAAATTTATTAAAATACATTGAGGAAGGTCTTAGGATTTTTTTGGTTGAAAATTCTTTAATTTCTTGCGGAAAAATTGATTATTGGGGTGCGAAACTTAATTGAGGTGTTTGAGATTTGATTGGAGTTCTTTGGCTATGAAGTCTGAGAATTCGTCCCCATCAACCAGTCTGGTCAAATGTAGCGATTGCTGCTGTAGCTGTTCAATAATGAACAGGTCGTTTTCAGGGACCTATCTCCGTTCTGTAAAGCGTAAATATGATGAGTTAGAAGAAAGGCAGTTCACAATCCCAGGACTGGTTTTACAACAAAATGCCCGTGTGGATATGGGAAACGAATGTGCAGCATTGCGCGAAATGGTCAGCAGCCAACAGCAGACCATTCAGGATCTCATTTTGGAGTTGGAGGAGGAGAGGAATGCATCCTCCTCGGCTGCCAATGAGGCCATGTCAATGATACTGCGGTTGCAGAGAGAGAAAGCAGAGGTTCAGATGGAGGCAAGGCAGTTTAAGAGATTTGTGGAGGAGAAAATGGCACATGATCAGCAGGAGATGTTTGCATTGGAAGATTTGTTGTATAAGAGGGAGCAGACCATTCAGTCTCTAACCTGTGAGGTGCAGGCCTATAAACATAGGATGATGAGTTATGGACTCACAGAGGCTGAGGCTGAAGGAGAGAAGGTTATGAGCCTAAACACTAGCATGACTGAAAACATCGAGGGACAATCTGAACTCCCTCCTTACGAGATATATCCTCCTCTCAAGTGCAATTTGAATGAACTCCAGACATATCCAGATGGCGAAGATGAACCTACTGACATAGAGAAATATGCATTTGGTGAAACTCCACAGTCGAGGGAACACTTGACGGATTTGGAGGACCGGATAAATCAATTGGAGAAAACTCCTAGGGCCATTCAGCCTGAAGGGGAATTTAAAAATGCATTTGAAAAGGTGATAGTTGGTCAATCTCCGAGACGGCCTTGGCATCTTAGGAAGTTCTCAATTGATAGCTCAAATTCGTTTTTAATGATGGGTAAAGAAACAGGGGCAGAATTTTCCACTGATTCTCCAAAGTTTTGCAGCAGTTTTAAGAAGACAGTATGTACCCAGATGGAAGAGAACTCTAATTTGAGGAAGGTGGATAATGCATCAGAAGTTGGAGATGATGTGAGCGACAGGGTTTACACAATCGATTCTATTCATCAGGGAGCTTCGTATAATGGTGTCAATGAGCCCAGGTCTTCTACTGGAATAGGTGACGACTATCTGACCACCCCGAGAGAGTCACTAAATCATTCTGACGTTAGAGATCTGGAGGTCCAGAAGCTATACGCAAGGCTTCATGCCCTAGAAGCTGACAGAGAATCAATGAGGCAGGCAATTATTTCTGTTAGAACTGATAAAGCACAGATGGTGTTGTTGAAGGAGATTGCTCAGAATTTGTGTAAAGAAATGTCACCAGTAAGACGGATGCCTGAGCGGAAGCCATCAGTAATCTGGAGTTTTTGTTCAATATTCACGGTAATTCATACGGGATACTACATTTATTTCTAAATGGATCCAACTGGGTGTTGATGGTGTTAATTTTCTGTTCCGTTTCAAGCATTTTCGTCTATTTTATTTGTCATCACTCTGAATTTCAAGTATCTTGTCTCCTGTTATCTTTTTTTTTAGTGGTAAGTTTAACGACACGTTGACAACGTTCATTTAAGTACCTTTTGAAAATATTGGGCTGTAATCTTCTTGCGTGCTACATGATACTATTTACTGAATAATGGGAATGCACCTATTTGTTTCACCAATATTGCCAAACATAAACAGCACAGTCCATGCATTATATTCACAATTACCATGCATTATATTCACAATTAGTGCCAGATTACCCATGCATGGTATAAGTGATTGTGAAATTAATGATCTTTTACAAGTGGAATGCAAATACTTACCTAATTGAGAAATAAGAATTTTAAGGGCCGTGCATGTGCAGTGTATGCTGTACTATCGCAAAAATGTTTACATTTTTAGGAATGCAGATATTGTTGAAAATGCTAGTTACTGAAGGAAGTTCAGGGGATGGGAAATGTTTTAATCTAGGACAATCTTGCTATAATTATAGGCTTATTTGTAAACCTATTCTATTTTAGGAGTCAACACAGGATTTACCATTTGACAGCTTTTACTAATTTTGATAAAGCAATTTCCACGAAATGCTGGTAACAGTTAATGTGTATGTGGCTGCAAAATAGCCTCTAAAATCTGCAATTCTAGGTAGGTAAACCTTCCCAAGTATGTACTTAGCTTTGTTATAGATTGTTTGCCCATAATTATTTCATTCAGTGAAAGACGTCTAGTTGACCCAATGTTATGGATAACCCTCTCTTTTCTCGTTGTCCCAACCTTCTTCTGTTTGATATCACACTTTCTCTCAAATAATAATAATATTTTTCCTTCTTTCTGTGTCAACTCCATCGAATATCTTTTGGCTTTCTCATCCTCAAGATCTGTAGTGTTTTTGTCCTATGTTTTGATAAGCAATTTCATGGGTTCAGATCTGAATAGTTCTATTAAAGTGTTTGTTGTGCAAAAATGCACACTTCTGATATTATTATGCAAGTTGTGACTTCTGCTCCTTGATTATGATTTTAAATGGCTGGTGAAATAAATTGTGAAGCCAAATTTTTGCTGAAGTTGGTTGCTAAATTTGTCCCTTGTTTGACAACCATTTTTACAACCTTTTTTTTTTTTTTCAAACTCATTATCATCCACGTTCCCAGGGTGAAATATTTTTGCACGTAAATCCAAAACTTTTTCCAATTTTTTAACCACACGTTCGCCAAAAAATCATTTTTCCGAAACACATTTTTCCCAAAAAACTCTTTTTAATTGTTGTCAAACAGGATTCTGCTCCCTATGGATATCTTAGTTGGGAGTATTTTTGTTTAACTACCGGGCAGTGGAATCTTGATGCATTGTTAAGTAATAGTTTATTAATTGAACCAGTTAATAACGTTCATTTTTGCATGCATGCGTATTTGCAAGTACGCTTTCTTTGGGATATGGTGGGGCCAGAAAAGAGAGGCGATGATGGACTTCTTCTTGGGCCTATGCCCTCTCTTTCATGTTCACATGCATGCATATTTGCAAGTACACTTTCTTTGGGATATTGTGGGGCCAGAAAAAGTGAGAGGCAATGATAGACTTTTTCCTGGGCCTATGCCCTTCCCTTCACGTTCGCATGGATCAGCTTTTCGTCTTTGGTCCATCATAATTTTATAGTTTGAATTTGCCTTATCATGGTTTTTAACAGCTTTAACATTTCGAATTCTGATTTATCCTTTTGGAGCTAGTTTTAGAGTGTGTCATAACCCTTACAATTTGATTTTTGCTTTGTTCAGACATCAAAAAATTGTCTCAAAAGTTGGTCTAAATATAGAACTGAAAGCAAAGTCATCCTGATTAATTTTCATCTTTGATTCTTTTTTATTTTATCATGATTGCAATTCGCTACTTTCATACCGAAAGGTGCAACATCTAAAAAGCTATTTACCGTTAGATTGTATGAAATGCCTCTGTGAGTTTAGTTACATTTCTCTATGAGCAAATTACAATGTCAAACGTGTTTCGTTTAATAAATGCTAACTGTTTATTTCTCACGTTCATGTTCAGTGGGTTGCATCTTTTGTTTTATGGAAAAGAAAAGCTCGCAAATGCAGGTGAGTAATATTTACTGAACTTTCCAACAGATTAGTGTGTTTATTTACAGATTGAATGCTTTGCTTCTTCATGCTAATTTTACCAGGTTCATTAACATATGGTCCATATTACTGTTTTACCATGTAATCGAACTCTTTATATTTGATCATGTTTTTTGTACGTGGCTTCTATGCCCTGGTGTTTTAGCTCTTGTTTGGGCTCCATTTTATTCCAAAATGCATTTTTTTCCTTCTTTTCAACTTCACGTTCTCCAATAAAATAATATTATAACTAAACCTAAAAATTTTCCTTATTTTTTAACCGCACATTATCCAATAGATCAGTATTCCAAAATATATTTTCCCCAAAAATTATTATTAATGGAGCCCACACAGGGGCTTAATCACACAGTAGTTTTATGGTTCATTCTGAATTTCTAATAAAAGAACTACCAATGTTATTACCTGAAAAAAGGAAACATCTAGCTTTTCACATTACCTTCATCATATCTTACTCATGGACATATTCACTTTTATTTGCACAACTCTTTTCTCTTTTCACTCTGAGTTGGGCAACATTAAAAATCACAGCCCTTGTTTGGTGCTACTAAAAAACAAGATTTTAATTTAAGTCAAAGTCAACAATTAATTTGAATCACACATTTAATGGGACCCACAATTTTTCAACCACACATTTCATCAACTTTTGGTAAAATCTGCTAAAAATTTGAATTTAATCCCCACTAAATAGGGGGCTATTCTAAAGATAGATTGAGGCTTGTTATAAAAAATGTACTTAATTATGTTGCCAATTATGCAAGTCTGGAGTAATATGATAATCTCTCAGTCAATAAATATAGAGAGAGAAATGATCTATTAAACACCGATGACATGATACATCAATTAATTGGTGGATCATTTATCTCTTGTAACCTACTGTGAACTTATCACCATTTAATTGATGTACCATGTCATTGATGCTTAGCATAAGATAAATATCGGTACTTAGGGCATCATTTCTCTTTCTATTTATATAGGCAAAAAATTGTCTTTATCATTATTCATTGCGGAAAGTTCATTGCTTGGGAGCCATTTGTGGATATTCTATCTATGCTTATTAAATTTTTGTCTATTGTTTTAGGTATATGTTCGGATTATCAGCTAACAATGCTGGCTTACTAATGCTCTTAGACCGGGGACCTCGTGTGGGGCGGTTGAGACTTCTATCGAATGCACATCTATGAAAATATCTTGTTCATCTGTGGAGCCTATTTGTTTGAGCACTGAGTGGATTATACTAACACTATCTTTGGATATACATTTTTTTCTCCGGATTCCTTGTTGCTGTGGGATTTATTAGTTGGTTGTTTTGTGCAGTGTCCTTTTACTCCAATTTGTCCATATAGGTCGCATTTGTTGGTTGAACAGAAAAATATATGAATGCCGTGTATCCTTCTGGGCATTCATGCTCATTTGGCTTGTCATAATATAGCTCAAGGTCCTCAACTTCAGTTAGGGTTGCTATGTACATAATAAAGTACGTGGTTTCTCAATCAAAATACCTGTGCTTATTCTTTTATTGCCTAGGTATTTTCAGTTTCATGTTGTACAGGCAATTGTTGAAACACTAAGCTATCTTTTTTTCTATACTATTTGCTTTTTTTGGTTGAATTTTTATCGTATTTGTTGTATTCGGTTTTTTTTTTTTTAGATGGTTGATATCTTGCATAGACATGTCAATGTTTTTGTGCAATATAGAGTAAATGAGAGCCTATTGGCTTGGGGCATAAAAAAAGAATAAATTAACTTAGAAAAAGTCGGGCTTAATGGCCTGCTTTAGCTAAGTAACTTGTCTCTCTCTCTCCCTCTCACACACGCGCGCGCGCACACATGTAGTCAATTTAGGATTAGCATTAGGACCCTTTCCGAGAAAATGAATATTGCATGGGGGTAGTGACGCCCATTGCCATGACATGGTCGAAGGCCTGCACGATGCTTGGTGTTAAGCACGGATTCAGGTGGGATTAATCAAGGTAACATGTTGGCTTTTGTGATAAATGACTTAAGCATGGATGCCTTGATGGCAGCATTACGGGGCAGAATTAGGAGATGCAAGTCAGTCGGCATTGATTGATGGATTGATGTGAACATGTGTTTGACAGCATTGTGATCCTGCTGTCCAGCTGGTTTTGGTACTCGACTCAATGTGAATATCAAGCATATGGAGGCACGTGATAGTGACAAATTTGGGCAGTTTTTCGCATGGGAGGGCTGAAATTATGGGTAAACTAACCCAATAATTGGGGGGTTGTTAACTACAATCCAAATTTGGCTTATTTATTCCAAATGTTGGTTCTTTAAAACAGGTAAAATGAAGAATGCAGCGTTGAGGTAACAAATTTGTGTGTGTGTTGAGCCTTCACGTTTTTTGTACTTGGCGTGTTTCTTTATTTTATAGACATAAAATTGAGACGGTTTTTGTAATCTTGCATTCGATCTTACTTTCAGTTTTCTATATACTTTGTCTAAATTCTATCTGTTTTCAGTACTCGAAAGTGTAAATTCTTGTGTTGCTAACCGAGGATGAAAAAACTTTGTGCATCGCATGTTGTTCGAGATAGTTATGTGACAATAAGCAACATTGTTATGCTTGAGTGGTTAATCAAAGGGCACAAAAACAAGTTAACTAGCGAAAGTTAGCATTTCATACTCATAATTGCTCCCTTCCTAGTGAAATGTGTGCTCCGATTGAATATGGCAAAAAGAAAGAAAAGATGAGGAAATTACACCCATTATTAACAATTTAAATAAATATTCATCTTTTACTTTGCAAGTTTTATAAATCCAAAAATACTACATAAATGGTGTAAAAATGATATCAATAAATACAATCACTCCTCTCATTAGTTAAAACACTATCATCACTCCATCAAACATGACATATCAACCCCCACCCAACCACACCACACACCAATCACACCCATAATCCCCAATCTACAACATCTCCATTACAGCAAAGGTTAAGAAAAACTCAAGAATCAATTCCAAGAAATCATCTTTCATTTGCAGATCACCTTCATCGTATCTCATTACGTGATTTTCTCCCGAATACACCATGAGATTCACCATCCCAACTCAAATATCTTCTATATCCAGCCTTTTTACATTATACAGTTAATCATTGAAACACAATATCATCTGTATGTTGAAATATTCTTGGTCTTCCTTGCGATTTTGACTTGCTTATCACATTGGTGAGTTACTCTTTTCCATTCGACAACATTGATGCATCTGATCCGGTTATTTTTACGTTGTTTATTTGATAATTAATCATTCCAAGTGATTGAATTTTACCTAGTCATCAATTTTGTACAATGATAATTGTATTACTTGAGACAGATGGTGGTTGAAACTATTTTTACATGTAGGCGGCTGATAACTATTACAGGCCCGATCTGAAGAAAGCAACTCTTTCAAGGTTGAGTACTGTGAATAGAAGCCTTAAGGTTGCCAAAACTGGTCCTAAGAAGAAGAACATGCAGGCTGTTAAGATCCCGGGAATGAAGTAAAGCAGCTGACGAGTTGTCATGAACTTCTATTTCTGTTGTTGCCATGCTCTTCTGTGTGCAAACAATAGAGTACCAGAAGATTTTGCTACTTACCAACTATCTTTTTAGTCTCAAGTGATAATGCTATATAAATTTTGGACCAAAATAGACATTCATTTCCTGTGTGCCTGTTTTTGTTTTTTCCTTCGAGATTCAGTGAGTTACAGATAAATTTTACTTATCAGTAAAAGTAAATCATAACCTTCCCACACCAGCAGCCAACGAGGGAGCAACAGGAGTAATTCACCAACGTTGAAACATTCAGTTCACCGTCCACTCGATTCCGTACAAAAAAGCCATGCGACGTCTCTTGAGCGCATATTCTAGACCTTTTTCAAGAGACATTCTCATTGCATATTCCCCCTTTCCGGCAACTAGCACTACCATATCATCAAGAGACACTTGTAATGATGCTAGCGCCAAGATCTACTGGAACTGTGAAAGATGAGCAATCTATGAAATCATTCCATACTAGAAATAATCACAAGAAATCATTTGATAACACGGATTCCCATTTCTGAATGATATTCCACAACCAAGACAATTGGCTGAATCCCGTGAAACCATTTCTGATATCTTCTTTTTTATAAAGCAAAATAGCAAATCAATTTCGATTCTTGAATAATCCACATCACTTCTGCGCATGACCTCCTATTCCACTCCTATGACATGAGATTGATTGTTCATATCACCATATTCGACGTTAATGCTCCATCCAAGCTTGATTTTGAATTTGAATTCGCATATTTTCAGCATCTTCAATTAAGTCTTCCATTTTTATTCTCATTCAACAATTCAGTTACATATAAAAAAATAAGGAAAGTTTATATGTTACAGTACTTCTGGTATTTTTTTTTCCGCCGATTTTGTAGTATTTTCTGTTTATTATTTAATATAATAGTAGAAAATGAATTTTTTTATGATTCTAAGGTATATATGATTTTTTTCCCAGAAAAGATGGGGCAGTCGAGAAGCGTGTCCCGTCTTGTCTAGGCTTAAAAGTTATAGTAATTTCTGAATAATCCTATATTATTTTTTTCCTTTTTAATCATAAAAATACAAACTAAATTTTTTGGGTTTTTATAGATTATTAGTTTTTGAGATGGATTAAACTATTTGTACACAAAGATTTATACAATCTTTTACACACACAACACATGGCGGCCCCTCAGCCGCCCCTCCAATAGGAAGCCGCCACGTGTTGTGTGTGTAAAAGATTGTTTAAATCATTAGGTGAATGTAGCATGATCCTTTTGAGATATTAGAAGTATATCACTACTAAAAACAGCGGCTTCAAAGATAAAATTTTCCTTTGCTAACAGGTTTTATTGATGACACCGCAGAAAACAAGGATATGTCTAATTCTTTTTTAAATTAAGAGATGTATAATTATTTTAAGGAAAACCTACTAAATGCACTCTATGTGTTGGGTGTATTTACCTCAATTTTAAAAGGTATAAGGTGTGACAATGTGTAGAAGTCAAACTTCAAGTTTCATGAGAATATGCATAATAAGATGTTTTCCTATTTTTAACATAATTTTAATTATTCTAATAAATAGAATAAAATAATTAAAATGAGGGAAAATTATGCAAAGCCGTGTATTTTGAGTTTGATTATCGTTAATCATATCATTAAGATTTATTTTCGAATCGAGTGATCCATACCTCGCAAAATTCCAAAGCGAATCTACTTGTTTTTGGTTCACATCTGATGCTGTTTGTTGATTTTGTGGATTTCATTGATGGTATTTCCATTGTTTTTGGTTTAAATCCTATGTTGTTGATGGTCGATAAGAGGCATAGGTTAGCATGGTGGTGGTGTGGTTATGGGTTGGAGGCGATGGTGTTGAGTTGCGGTGGTGGTATGTGTGTGGTCATTTGTGAGTGGTATATTTTGGAGGCGATTGTGATGGTTTGGAGGCGATGGTGGTGATGGTGAAGTGATATCCTCACTTTTCGACGATGCAATTGGTGGTGGTAGTGTGTGGGATGGAATGGGTTGGATGAAGAACGGTTGTGATCAATTATTAGGTAACTGTGATTAATAAAACGAATAAATTATAACCAATAAATAATATTTGATTTTAAAAATATGTAATTTGTGATTAAATTTTTAGTTGTGGCTTATGATTTGCGCTTCCTGGTCGATAAATAAGTTGTGATAAACTAATTTTATAATTTGTGATCGAAAAATAAGTTGTAACTCATAAATTTTATGATTTGTGATAAAATGGGTGACCAATTAATTTGATGATTTACAATTAATAAATAAGTTGTGACTTATAAATTTTGAGATATGTGACAGTGACGTTTTGTGATTTTGGCTAAGAAGTAACTGTGATAATAAATTGTATGATATTGTTATTTCAATATATTTAATTACCTATTTAATTAATCAAATATGTTTAATTATCTTTCACTATCTAATATACTTATATTATGATTAAAATATAATAATAACCTATTTATGACCTTTTTTGTAAAAAGAAAAAAAAATCTCAAGTTTGACAGGGTAGATATTTTATCTTTAAATCTATGTAGTTATGTATTTTTCCCATAAAATAATGCATACTTCAAAATTTTATAGGGACTCTACACTTATTTTTTAAGTTTTCATACATTGAATTTATAATTGTTTGTTCGTCGGCAACGCCACATGCTAAAATAATTATCCACTAGGACTCCACGTCAGGTTCAAAAGGATCTCATTGCATGCCCCTTGGTCCTTGTATATTCATATCTCGATCATCGAGAAATTGTCGAAGCAGAAAGATGCCTTGATTACTGAAGAACCATTTAGTAGCAAAATGCACAAAATCATGGAACTTTGGCTGAAAACACAACTCATATTGTCTTGGCTACCAAAAGATCTAAAGGACTCGAAACAAGCCTCGTTTATGGACGGAAACGTTCGTGTGAAATCTAACACAATCAATAAAGACTTTTGTGTGGTAAAATCGGTGAATGCACACAATGAATTGCTTGACAAGTCCCACCAAAGCACAAACCTCAATATAATCTTGTAAATATGATTTAATCATTATTTTAACACAATCACGAGAGGATGTCAACTCATAAATTGATCAGAAGATTTCTAAAAACATCTAAAAAATGGCATTTGCACAACTTAAAGAGGGTGAAAAATCTAAGTTCGAACTTCCATTCTCTAAAGAAGCAGCTTTGGATCAAGGCAAATTAAAGGTCGGTCCTCTTGAAAACTCCAATATTCTCCAATTGAATTGTACTTTTGGGCAAAAAATCACACTGAAAACTCTATTGTTTCTCTTTAAAAAAATTTTTTTTGGCTCATAATCAAACCAAACACCCCCTCGGCCCCTCCCCTCCCTCCGAAAAAAGGGCAAAATTCTGCTAAAATTTCAATAGGAAACTTGACAGCTGACTTCAAAAATATTATCTAGTTTTTGAGGTCAACATGCAAATAAAGTTATGTTCGTGGCTTGAGTTTAGGTTTAGGGTGGATTTTCTATTGAATTTATTTTCCATATTTTAGCAATGGTTGATAGTGATGGCAAAAAAACTAGCTCCACTCTACCCGATGGGGCAAAAAAAACCCGTCATGAATGGGTTGATGGGGCGGAGTGCCCCATCATGCGGCGCGGAGCGAACCTGCTCCCTAAAGGGAAAAAAAAAAAGATTAAAATAATTTTATTTTTAAACAATTCACCCGTTAAAAATCTATTTTGAATTCGTATTTTATTCTCTAATAATAACATAACTCGAAATTTTCAAAAAGTAAAAAAAATAAAAGAAATTAAATGGGGCAATAAGTTGTCCCGCCCCGAACCCGCCCCATTGCCATCTCTAATGGTTGAGTATATTGTTGGGCTAGACTCAAAACAAATAAATATCACTTGCCATATAAACCCTCGTTTGGCCCCCATTTCGTGGATATGAAAATGGGAGGAATAGTCAGTGGCGGACCTGCAATTGGTCCCAGTGGGTCACGTGACCCACCAATTAAAAATGATTTATTTATTTTTTTAAATAGAAAACCATAAAACTGAAGAAATCAAAAAAACCTCCCACTTTCCAATTCACAGTCTCCAAGCCGTTCCAAATTCTCATCCCCATATTTCACTACCAAATTGAAATTCAATGCAAGAAACCTTGCCACTTCCAATTCAATCCCGTCTTCGGGATCGGCTGCTCTCAATTCCAAATGTTGAAGCAAAACCTAGCCCTTTAATCCTCCCCCGTCGTCGCTGCCGGCCGTTTGACTCCATTCGCCGACGATTCTACCACCACAAACTGCTGAAGACAACAAATTACTGTCAATACACTTAGAATTGTAAGGTGTAAGGAGATGATTATTCCTGTGTGCTGCAGTTTTATATAAGAAATTTGGGATTTAATATTTCAATTTAGTCATGTTAATTGCAACCCGTTTCGACGTTTCTAGTTACTTTATTTCCCATAATTTATTCCTATTTTTTTAGATTTAAATGTGTATTTATCTTATTCCTGTTCTTTGGATACTACGACTTTTGTGTACTACATTTTATAATTTAAATTGAGGGCTCAATTAGATATCTATTGTCGACAGTTGAAGTTTATATCCCTGGATATTTATAAGTTATAACGAAAAAATTTCCCTTACGTTGGCTCGCCCTAGGATCTGGCTAGGTCCTCAAAAAAATTCTTTTTAATAGGCAACAATTGGAGGCTAAATAGTGACTGATCTATACACATTTAATTAATGTAGAAATAATTATCTTATGAACTGGGGGAATTATTTCTATTGTTTTGAATTTGAGTTATTTTACACCTTTTTAGCTGCCAAAATATTAACCATCTAAATTTCATTATCATTATCTATTTATCTGCTTCATTTGAAATTTATGGTGGGAAGTGGGAACATTTTTTAAATTTTCTCATGATAAATGAAGTACGTGATAAACTTTCTCATGAAGGATTATTTTGAATTAAATCAGAATTTGGGAGTGTTGTGTGTTTCTTGTTAAATCATTTTGCTTTTTGTTACTGTAATTTTTGCTTTTTGTTACTGTAATTTTGCTTTTTGTTAAATCATTTTTTTTTCTATTAGTTGAGATATATACGTAGTGCTGCTTGCTCGCGCTTCGCCGCCATTCTATTGTATTGTTGCTTGATTTCACTCATCCATCATCGTTCGCCAAAGCATTAAAGTTAGTCTAGCGTTCCGATTTTAATTCCCGTTCGGTGGCTCCAGTCAATTTATGATTTTAGCGAATTTGTGATTTGTGAATATGTGATTTGTCAATTGTTGATGGATAATTAATTTTTGATTTGCGTTTGTGAATTGTGATTCGTGAGATTTAGTTGGGGATTGTATCAACAATTCAAAATAGATACAACATTATTAATGAGATTGTAATTTATGAAACCGTTAAACTTAGTAACTTAAACCATTATTGATAGAAATATTACTTTTTCACTTGAATTGATTCTTTTCATTATATGTTTGTATCAGTTATGGAAAAGTACTTTAAACGTAAATCTGTGTTTCCTTGCGATGACCAAAATGTTAATGAAAGAAATGTTCGAGATAAAAGGGATGGACGTGATGTTGGATATAAAAGGATGACGAACTTGGTGATGAAATGAATGAAATTGGTGGAACTAGTCTTGGAGATGTCCCAATTGAAACAAATACCAGGGATATTGGGGATGAAAGGCTTGAATTTGATGTTGCGCAGCTTCCTTTGGATCCTAGATTGAGGATTTCAATACAAAATTATGATACTGATGTTCGAGATGTAATTCGAAGAGCATATGTGCAAAGGGGTCCATGTCAGCCTCGCAATCATGAATTTCCACCCAAAAAAATGGGGAATAAAGATAGGCGATTTTGTGTTTCATGGTATAACGAGTATCCTAGTTGGTTGGAATACATCATAGCAAAAGATGTTGTATTTTGCTTATACTGCTATCTTTTTAGCTCAAGTGATGGTTCATTTGTTAATGGTGGGTTCTCAAATTGGAAAAGAAAGGACATTATTAGAAAACATGTTGGGGCACCAAGTAGTGCACACAATCAGGCTCGGGTCCGGTATGAATCATTCAAGAATCAAAGACAAAGCATTCAATTGTGTTTCATTAAACAATCACATCAAGCTCGAACAGAGTATCGAATTCGTTTAAATGCATCAATTGATTGTGTTCGGTTTCTTCTACGACAAGGGATGGCCTTTCATGGACATGATGAATCTGAAGATTCAAACAATTGAGGAAACTTTCTTGAACTATTACATTGGTTTTGTGATCATAATGTTGAGATTAAGGCTGTTGCTTTGACGAATGCACCTGAAAATCACAAATTTACGTCACCACGAGTTTAGAAAGATATTGTGAGTGCTATCGCTTCTGCAACTCTTAATGTGATTATCAAAGATATGAAGGATAGCTTGTTTTCTATTATAGTTGATGAATCTCGAGACATTTCAGTGAAAGAGCAAATGTCAGTTGTTATACGTTATATGAAGAATGGGCATGTATTAGAACATTTTATTGGTGTTACGCATGTTTCAAGTACCACAGCTGTTGCACTCAAGGCTGCAATTGATCAATTATTCTCCACGCATAGCTTAAGTTTATCTAATTTGAGGGGTCAAGGATATGATGGAGCGAGTGATGTGAGAGGTGAGTAAAATGGTCTCAAATCACTTATTTTGAAGAAAACCCATGTGTTTACTACATTCATTGCTTTGCTCATCAATTTCAACTAGCACTTGTCGCTGTGGCACAAAAACATCAAAAAATTGAAGCTTTCTTCACTTTCGTACACAGATTGGTGAATATTGTTGGAGGATCGGCTAAGCGAAGTGATCTTATTCGAGAGAAACAAAGACTTAAAATTCTTGAAGCACTTAGTGTTAGTAACATATCAAGCGGACGAGGTCTCAACCAAGAAACTACTCTTAAGCGTTTTGGTAATACTCGTTGGGGCTTTCATTATAGTTGTTTGATTAACTTGATTCTCGTGTTTTCGGCCACCGTTGATGTTATTGAAGAGATTGCTACTGACACTACAAGTTCCGGAACAAGAAGTGATGTAAATATTTTATTGGAGACAATGTTAAAATTTGAATTTGCATTTAATCTACATCTTATGAAAAAGATCTTGGGAATTTCAAATGAATTGTCGAAAGCATTTCAAAGGAAAGATCAAGATATTGTCAATGCCATAAAATTGGTGAAATTATGTAAAGTACATATGCAAATCATGAGGGATGATGGATGAGATTCTTTTATTGGAATGATTTGTTCATTCTGTGAAGCTCATGAGATCAATATTCCAAATATGGATGATATGTTCATAACTATAGGTCGTTCACGACGTCCTACAGTGACAAATTTGCATCACTATCGTGTTAAAATATTTTATGCCATCATTGACATGCAATTTCAAGAATTGAATGATCGTTTTTCCGAGGTGAATAGTGATTTACTCCTTTGTATTGTGTGTTTGTGTCCAAATAATTATTTGCTGCTTTTGACAAGAACAAATTGATGCGACTATGTTGGTATTATCCAACAAATTTTGACACAACAGATATCTCGGAACTTGATGATCAATTAGATACATATATTCTTGACATGCACACTGATGAAGAATTTGAAGGATTATAAGGTCTTGGTGATCTAGCACATAAATTGTTTGCGAAAAATAAGCATGAAGTGTGTCCATTAGTTTTCAAGCTTGTGACATTAGCCTTAGTTCTTCCCGTGGTTACTGCTACAATCAAGAGAACATTAACTGCGATGACTTACGTAAAAAATCGTTTGCGCAATCGAATTGGAGATCAATGGCTAAATGATAGTTTGGTTGCATATATTGAGAAGGATGTACTTGACAATATCGAAAATGATGTAACAATGGAACGTTATCAAAATATGAAAACTCGTAGAGAACAATTGTAATAAAATATCGAATAGATAAATTTTTTTTTAACTTTTTGTACAAGTTATATTGTTCCCCACTAACTCCTTATGTTTGCGTCCGCCACTAGGAATAATGTTTTTTTTTAAAATGAGTGATTGAAAAAGAAGTAAAAATTTTCGATTTACGTGTAATATTATTTTATAAAAGATTGAATGATTGAAAATGGGAGGAAGAAAAATGAAGTGTAAAGAAATTTAAATTAATGGGGGTCAAACGATGCTTAAAAGATGAGTACCTTTTCGCTTAGGGACTACATTGACAGCCTTTTTTCTACCTAGGCGCTAGACGGTATTGACTCTCTTTGCCATGCGAATAGGCGGCCTTTTCGAACACATGTACATTTTGTATATTCCCTTTTTGGTTTAGTAAAAATTAGATTTTCAATAAATTTTGATAAAAGTAGATGAAGTATGTAGATCTTATAAAATGTGTAGTTAAAAAAAATTGAGGAAAAATGAAATTTAAAAATAGTAGCCAAATAGGAGTATAATGTGCTTTTTTAAATTTACATTTTGTACACTATATTTTGGAGTCCGGTAACAAAAAGGCTTTTGCTATAAAGTTGACAATTATATCATGAATAATTCAAAGTGTACGGGTCTCTTCACAAAATTTTTACAGATGGCAGCATTTGTGTTTTATATATATATATATATATATATA